AAGTGGCAGTCTCCAGCAAGAAGAAAAAGAAACAATGCTGTAGGTAATTTACAGCACACACTCATTTTGATAGCATAATTATTCATGTTGAATGTATGTTCTCTGCTAAAGAACATTAAGTTGTTATAGGTAAAGTTCCACTTTAATAAAATGCAGTGGGTCTAATAAATACCAGGCTGGATGGTCTGAAGGTATTGCAAGGGAACATGTCAGAGCTTTGGTTTACAGGGCTAGAAGTTGACATCTTACATTGAATGCCCCGTGTTGGTGGCTTACAGCACACTCTGGAAGATTAAAAAAGGTTTGTGAAGTGCCTTTTGGTTGCTACATTTTATTGCAGTTCCCATTGTTTTTCCATGGGGAGTGTCACTTTAAGCCTCTAGTTGGCTTATGAAGTTTAAAAGAGCTAAAGTTTTACTCAGATTTATTAAAAATTAACACCTCAATGATTAAAGTTTAACATTTATATTAGATTTAAAGAGACTATTTAAAATTTTACTGCCGATTCCTGTTACCTAAAACTCAAAAGGATATTTTAAAGTGGATCTGACTAGGAACAAAATAAAACATGATTTGCTGTATGATGGAGTCGGTGACTGGCATTAACATAGCAGTAACATTTTATTACCTGTTGATCTTGCTTGTAGATGCGTTATTTATAAACTCCTTTAACAGATTGACAAAGCAGTTAGTTTTACAGTGAAATCACACAGCAGCATTGTCACCTTGTAGACAGGGTGGTCATAGATGGACATGCAGTTTTAAATGGACTTTACAGGAGAGGTTTGGGGTATGTAAAAAAAAACATACATTCTCACATCCATGCTGCAGCATCGGTCTGATGTTGCAGCTGTCCCCTGCCAGCTACATACAGGGGATATAATCCCATCTCCAGTACTTGCCTATACTGTAGTTCCACTTTAAAATGTTACTAAAGTCTAGATTTTAAAAAAATCTACAATAACAAACATGTTATATTCACCAGCTCTGTGCAGTGGTATTGCACAGAGCGACCTGGATCCTTCTCTTCTCAGGTCCCCGCTGGCAATCTTGGCTCCTCCTCTTCTTTGTTTGTCCCCATAGCAAACGGCTACTATAGGGGCAAATGTTCTCCACTTGATCCCAAACTGTGTGTCTATGGAGCTACGCTCCATAGACTCGCACAGCGGGACTTAGCCCCGCCACCCAACTACTTTCTCCTCACTGCATTTGATTGACAGCAGCAGGAGCCAATGGCTCCTACTGTTGCTCTAGTCCAGGGGTGGGCAAACTTTTTGACTTGAGAGCCGCAATGGGTTCATATATTGGACCCGGGGGCCGGACCAAGAGTAGATGAATGCTGTGTATGTGTCATCCATAGTAAGTATAGTAATATTCCCCCATAGTAAGCATAGTAATTCATCCCCCATATAGTAATTCATCCCCCATAGTAATTCATCCCCCATATAGTAATTCATCCCCCATATAGTAATTCATCCCCCATAGTAATTAATCCCCCATATAGTAATTCATCCCCCATAGTAATTCATCCCCCATATAGTAATTCATCCCCCATATAGTAATTCATCCCCCATAGTAATTCATCCCCCATATAGTAATTCATCCCCCATATAGTAATTCATCCCCCATAGTAATTCATCCCCATAGTAATTCATCCCCCATAGTAATTCATCCCCCTTATAGTAATTCATCCCCCCATAGTAATTCATCCCATATAGTAATTCATCCCCCCTATAGTAATTCATCCCCCCTATAGTAATTCATTCCCCATATTAATTCATCCCCCATATTAATTCATCCCCCATATTAAGTCCCCAAGTCCCCCCTGTGTCAATTCACTTACCTTTGCTCCGCGCGTTCCTCTCGCCGTGTTCCCGCACCGTTCCGGTGTAGCATGAAAATCTGTCTCCTATGAGGATCTGTCCCCCTCGACGTATCTGCGCATGTGCCAGTTTCAGGCATTAGCAGCCGATCGGCGATCTCCGGCACATGCACAGATACGTCGAGGGGGACAGATCCTCATAGGAGACAGATGTTCATGCTACACCGGTCTTCAGGGCGGACTGTGAGAGGAGCCTAGCTCCGCAGACCGGATTAAAAGGTCCGCCGGGCCGTATACGGCCCGCGGGCCGTAGTTTGCCCATTGCTGCTCTAGTCCCTGTGTGAAGACAAAGAGAGGGGAGAAGGGATGCAGCCATTCACAGCGCTGGATCTGTTCTCCCCTCACTTCCCCTTCAGGGGAAGGGGGAGGACAGAGGAAATAAAAACGAAAATGCTTTAAGGCAAAAAAACTTTTTAGGTTTAGTATCACTTTAACGGACATCATCCGCAGATCTAAGGTTGGCCATACATTATACAATTTTCTTGAGAATTTTGCTTTAGATTTACCAAAAACCATCTAATATGAGGTCAAACCTAAACAACACTTTCAATTGTATGCAATTAGGCAGGCCCTTGCGCTGCATAGTTGAAGGTAAATCTAAAGAAAATTGGACAGAAATTGGACAGAAAATTGTAAGAAAATTGAATAGTGTATGGCCGGCCTAAGTCCATTCCTTTGATCTGCAGTTGAATGAACAAAAAAATACAAAAGGAACAATATGTTATTTTGTATCTATAGAGGTCTGGAGCAATGTAATTTATAAAACACTGATTCAGACTGCTTTTTTAACAGCTAGAGCTGCTGATAACTTCTCTTAGCCTGGGTTCACTCTTCTGCGGTGCGGCACATCGCATGTGATTCACACAGGAACCGCACCGCATTCCTGTGCAGATCACATGCAAATTCTGTGCGGTGCGCTTTGAGCCATACATTTTGTATGGCTCAAATCGCACCACATCCACACCAAAAAGGTGCAGGACATTTTTTTGGTCGGCACTAGGATCAAATTGCATGGGTATTTACACTTATGTGATCCGATTCTGCACATCGCATCGCATTTTTCAAATAGATTTCGGGTTGTTGTTAACTTAACATACACACCTGCAGCGGTTCGCATGGACGGGGTGCGATTGTGATGCGGTGCGGAATTTGCATAGAAACTGCTGCGAATTCTGCACCACATCAGTGTGAATCCAGGCTTAAGGAGAAAAAAGCTCATTTGGCTGTCCTTTTCCTGTGGATCACTGGAGTGCAGTTCATTCTGCACTCTTGTGACCCATTTTCAGATGACAGCGAGTTAAAGTTCGCTGTTGACTGATGTCACTGAGCCAGGCCAAGCTGTGGAAAGATCGCGACTATATGGTTGGGATCCACCCAGGAGCCTGGACTGGCACCTGGGTCAGCCTCTCAGCAATCCGCTGAGAGCCTGAGCCAGCCACTCCCTCCCCCCTCCACAGCCCAAAGCTCCAGTGAGCACTGGATGGGCAGGGCAGACAATGGAGATTGACAGTCCCAGCTCTCTGCTCACAGCGGGAAGGAGAACTGAGCAATCAGCAGTGTCTGATCGCTCAGTTCTCAGCCTTAGAGCTGCCAGGGGACAGATGCAGTATCGGACTGATGCTGCATCCACCTAGGTAAGTATAATTTTAAAAAATAAAAATCGAAAACTTTTCTTTTAGGATACTGTAGTGCCAGCTTTGATTGACTAGAGATGACAATTCTGCAAGTGGTTAAACACAAAGCAGAAGTTGTAAAAGTAAAGAAAAAATAAAATAAAAAATATACATACACATTTAACTTAGTACATCCAAGCCTTATTCACATCTGTGGAAACATGGGCAGAAATAAACGTTTTTGCCCATGTTTCCACAAACATGCAAAACACAATCATTTATTAATGGCACCCCAACACAGATCGCAGTTGCACATCTTGTCGCATGTTTTTTGCATGACAACATGCACAAAAAACATGCAAAAAACAAGCATTGCAAAAACCCAAAATTGGGTACATGAGCTTCTTTGGCACATTTTGGAGGAAGGCCCATTCAAGTGAATGGTGCCGCTACAAAAACACACTACAAAAACATGCAAAAAAAGGGCAAAAAATTAAAGATGTGAATCGAGTCTCAATATGCAACTTAAAAACAGGAGGGTGATGAACTAATACATTTAACAAGAAAACCAGCTGATATTTGCTTTAACGGGTAACTCCGCTTTCATGGGCAAAAAATTAGCAAATGAAAAAAAATAATGAAATAGCATATGCAATTGCTACACAAGTCACATTGTAATTGAATGTTAAAAAAAATTACCTTTCTGTTTCAATCTGTAGCACTGTAATCTGTAATTTTCTGTAAAATGCAATATGGCAACCTGGAGGAGTTCTGTATAGAACACCCCCAGAAATGTAATTTCCTGCTTGTGAGAATGGTTTATTGATTTTCCCAGAAGTGCACACTAAGATACAAGTCAGATTTTGGGCATCACCTGCAACAAAAATGTTATTTACGGTGAGATACTCCCAAAGGGAAGTCATGTCTAAAGGGATACAATCCCTGCCAGTTTCCTTATTGGAATTCTGCAAGTGCAGCAGCTGATCGATAATGATAAAATCACTCCCATTCACATAGCACAAAGGAGTTCTTATATACAATAATAAAGACACAATACAATAATATTCAAATACAATGTTCTTTATTGGAAAATATTTTGGTCATAGTGCTATTTAAAGGGTAACCTCCATTAAACAAATTACTTAACATATATATATATATGCCGTATTTTTCGCTCCATAAGATGCACTTTTTTCCCCCCAAAAAAGGGGGTAAAATGTCAGCACGTCTTATGGAGCGAATATGGAGCGACTAGTCCGGTATTTCCGCCGCCACCGTGTCAGAATACCGGGCCAGCCACTCAGCTATTCTCTGCAGCAGGACCACACCTGTTCCTCGGTCCAGCACTGTACAGTCTTCCCGCACCGGCATCTTTAGTGTGGGCACTCAGCTGTGACAGCCGGGTGCCCACTGCGCATGTGCGAGAAGCGCTGCGCTTTGTGAATGGCCCGGCATCTTCTGGGACATATGACAGGTTCCAGAAGACACGGGGCCATTCACAAAGCGCAGTGCTTCTCACGCATGCGCAGTGGGCACCCGCTATCAGCCAGGTGCCCGCAGTAAAGGGAGGACAACTCCGCGGAAGTGGGAGCGGGTACCTGTCAAATTCAAGTACCTGCTCCCCCTCCCTCCCCAAAGGTCCGCAGTCTTTTGGTCATCCCCTGTACTGTCTGCAATCTCTGGTCTTCTCAGGTACTGTCTTCAGTCTCTGGTCATCTCCTGGACTGTCTGCAGTCTCTGGTCATCTCCTGTACTGTCTGCAGTCTCTGGGCATCTCCTGTACTATGTTCGCAGTCTCTGGTCATCTCCTGTACTGTGTCTGCAGTCTCTGGTCATCTCCTGTACTGTGTCCGCAGTCTCTGGTCATCTCCTGTACTATGTCCGCAGTCTCTGGTCATCTCCTGTACTGTGTCTGCAGTCTCTGGTCATCCCCTGTACTGTGTCCGCAGTCTCTGGTCATCTCCTGTACTGTGTCCGCAGTCTCTGGTCATCTCCTGTACTGTGTCCGCAGTCTCTGGTCATCTCCTGTACTATGTCCGCAGTCTCTGGTCATCTCCTGTACTGTGTCTGCAGTCTCTGGTCATCTCCTGTAGTATGTCCGCAGTCTCTGGTCATTTCCTAGATACCAGTCCCTTTGTGCAATCCCATGGGGGTCCTGCTGAACATTGGGGACCCAGTCATTCATTTTGCACATGGACACAGACAAACAGCTATTTCTTCAGAATACCAAATCCTTTCAGTGTACATAGATAGCCCAGAGGAGAATGCTTTTTTTCTCAACAAAAATGGAGTTAGTCTTTACATAAATATGAAGAACACTATATAAAGCATAAACATAAAATACATTTACATTTTTATTATTAAAATTTCATGTATAATTTATATTGAAATGCTTATTAAAATCAATACATCTGAGAGGTTTTTTAACAACCTCACCAGTCTTTCAATCTGTTTGAAATAATAACGATAATTTTGACTTTTAAAGTCAAATTGCTTTTTTTTGGCCATAGGTGTCCCATAGCCATAACAGGACGTAAGAGGAAATCCCTCCAAAATGAGGGAATCCCTGGTAGACACCAGATCTAGTGTCCCCACTGGAAGATTTAGCCTCTTTGCCTCATATACCCAACTGGATATCCTGGGTCTGAGAAGAACAGGACACACATGCAAGTTCTACTACAATACAATTCTTTGTATCTGCATGACCAATCATCCCATTAAAAGTGTGCATTGTAGTGAGCAAGAATCAATTTTTCTGAGCATTGGATGGTGCCAACCAAACATGAGGGTCAGTGTTGCCAACCTACCAGATTGAAGTTCGCTGACACGTCACCCTAATTTTACTGGCATTTTCAAAAGTTACAAAACTACAGTTTTAAGTACAAATGTCAGTATTTAGGCTACAAACAAGTACAATATGTAATTAGCAATGTGATTTGAGGTAAGTGTTAGGGCAAAAAACATATTTCTTATTTTATGTTTGATTTACTAAGTAAGTAGATCAGGGACAGGACTCACGAGCAGGGGCGGACTGACCATTTGGAAACTCGGGCACTGCCCGAGGGCCCGGGGTCAGTAGGGGGCCCCATGAGATGCCCCTGGTACCTTTTTCAAAGGCTTTTTTGAGTTTGGTCAAGGACACAGGGGCCCCATGATCCCCTATTGCCCGGGGGCCTCATGAGTTGTCAGTCTGTCCCTGCTCACGAGGGGGCAAAAATTTAGAATGGTACACACACATGGGATTGACTCAGGGACCCACTCCGCCAGACCCACCCCCCCACTGGTGCCATCCAAACACACTTTGGCAGGCACTCGGCCAGTCTCAGTCGACTCTGAACCGGAACCGCGCATGTACAGTTCTGAGCCGAGTGACACAGCCATATTTAGCACAGAGCAGGTAAGTATGGCATTTGGTATTTAAAACAAAAAGAAACTTTACAATCACTTTCACTGCGATAGGCCAAGCGAGAGCTTTCCCATCCTGGTTGGATGTTATATGATATCCTCCCAGTCACGTGCCTCCTGTGCACTGTAGTGGCGATACTGTGGGTCCACCAGACCCAGGGGATGACAGATTATAGTACTGAGCTATCCCCGGAACTGTGTGATCGATGTGCCAATCACAGTAATCACATGTCAGTTGTACTTAATGAATGGCTTTTATTCATAGCCATTCATTGTGTGATATTGTGATGATCTCTGTGATTGGTCACAGTGATCACATGGTACATACAGGGCCAATAACAGTACATCTGTACCATGTGATCACTGTGGCCAATCTTAGCTGTTACACTAGTATACACTGGCAATGAATGGATGCCATTCATAAAAATAATTGCTTATAACAGTGGTTGTCACTGTTATAAGCAAGCATAGTGTAAAAAAATAAAAAAATACTTATCACCGCCCCAGACTAGTAGAGTGTCACTATGGTAACACTTTACTACTCTGGTCACAAAAAAATAAAAAAAGTTGTAAAAACATTTTAAAATGTAAAAAAAAAATAATATTTTTTTTTCCATATTGCCACCAGTCAGTATTAATGATCACCACTACACCAGTCATATGATGACACTGTACTGCTCTGGTGACAGGAGGGTAACAGTGAGAAAAAAAACCCACATTTTATTTAATTTCTTTTTTGAAAACAATTGTGACAGAAAAACTACAACTTCCAAAAACTCACTATACCTCTTACTAAATATCTTGGACTGTCTTCTTTCCAAATAGGGGTCATTGAGAGGGTATTTATACTGTCCTGGCTTTTTAGGGTCTGATGAAATGAGATCATCTGTCACTACATCAGGAATGATTATTTCAAATATATATACCATAGTTTGTAGTCACTTTAACAAATAATAATTAATATACATTATGTATGTAGCACTACCACCCTCGCTGAGGTTTGTGTCTTCTTATAGTCCTGCACAGCCAGGCAACACACATTTCCTTCACACAGACTTGCCTCCAGGAGACAGTAACCAGCCCTTGAGCTTTGTTTTGAAGTTTTATTAGGGGATTGAACTTGGATGGGGTAAGGAGTGTACGGGATGCCCGAGGGTATAGTAACTGGGGACAACTTCCTGGAACTATGTACAAGTCTATAAAAAAAAATCATCTTCTTGGAGAGATAGTCAACCTCCCTGGGTGTACCCAGATCCCAGATATTCCTTTATCCGGCTGCCTGAAGGGATCCCTGGACTGGGAATCCAGTGCCTGTCACTTTAAGTGTAAGACAGTTCTGGGTCAGCAGCAAATCCAGTTCCACACCAGAGTGCTTCTTCCCTTACGGGCCCAGGGGGGTGTAGGTCTACTCACTTAGTCCTCTGTCTGTGAGTGGATGGGTTGGTGGCTGCTACCACGCGTTCTAGCTGGGCTGTTCCTTCCCTGCTACACAGGTGGTCCTCTCTCTGGGGGCCAATGAGGTGCTGAGTTTTCCTCTTTTCCAGCTTCCCAGCCTGGAGGTGAGTCCCTTTCCATCTGGGCTCCCTCCCATGCTCCTGCTCTCCAGCCTCTCCCCTATCCATCTTCCAACCAACTTTCCTTGCTGAGCAGGCTCTGTCACACTTAAGGGCTGTTCTGACCCTATGCCAAGGGGACTGGTCCCCAACCCTATGTTGGGGATTAGTAAGGATCCCTCCAGAGTGCAGACCAGCCACTCCTCACTCCCTCCCACTGCTTCTAGAATTTGCTCCAAAACGCTAGAGCAGGGGGAAGTCCCAGAGAGCTGGTCAACAGAGCCTCTCAACTCTTCCCTGAATTTGACCTCCCTCTATCTATAATTTAGTATCTAGTAACTTCTAGCTATCTAGGAGGGTGCTACATATATAGTATATAATAATAATCATTGATTTGGGTTTTTTTTACCAAAGAAATGTTGCAGAATACATTTGGCTTAAATTTATGAAAAAATATTATTTATTTGCAACATTTTAAAACATTTTTCAAACTTTTTGGTATATTTTTTCATTTATATAGCAAAAAAAAGTAAAACCCAGTGGTGAATAAATACCATGAAAGAAAGCTATAGCTGTTTAGAAAAAAACAATATAAATTTCATTTGGGTACAATTTTGCATTGAGTAATTGTCATTCGAAGTGTGAAAGTGCTGAAATCTGAAAACTGGCCTGGGCAGGAAGGAGGTGATAGAGTCCGGTATTAAAGTGGTTAAGAATAGGGTAGTTGTCGTATATTGAAATGTAGGGAAAAGATCAATATTTATTGCAGATTTTACAAACAGCTTTATTTGGCCTGCACTCTTCACATAGTGTCTGCAAAATTCAGGCGGAACCCTTTTGTACCATGTGAGGTATTTCACCTTGGACACGTGACATCACCCCGGGCAGCTTATGATGACACATAGCTAATGATGACACATCAACATCCTGAGCCTTCTTAGTTATTGAAGAGCCTGAGAACTGTGGAAAATCAGTCACCAAACTGGTAGTAATTATCCAGTTCAACAGGTACAGTATATGCATTTTTATCAGTGTTCCAGCAGATTAGGATACCTGTCATCCAAACACAGCAGACAGCCAACCCGTGTACTTAAATACTCTATCAAAAGTACACGGGATATACAAAACATGGCTGTAACTACATCCTTAGAGATCGGGGGCCCAACTGTGACTGCTTCTGTTTCCCGATACAGTGCTTAGGTCTGAGCAGCAGGAAGTAAATTGAACCCTGTGTAAGCTCCTAAACCATCTGACTTGGAGCTCACGCAGGGCTCCCAGCACTCCAGCTTCCTGGAAAGAAAGGCAGGACCACGGTGAAAGTATAAATGTGTGGGAGGGTTGTTCAAAAAGCATATTGACACACATTATTTTTTTTTTTAAGGTCTGAACACCTCTTGGTAAATCCGAATAATTCCACAAAAAGTAGTTAATCAAGGGTGCGGCTTGTAGGTGTGAAAGTTGCATCAGAAATGACTAATTACTTGGCAGTGGCTAAAAGAAGAGGAAAATATGCAAATACAGTATCTATACTACACAAATGTATATATTTTACTGTGTACTGTGTGGTAGCAGGGCCCTCCTAACCCTCTTGTATTGAACTGTATTGTTGCTGTTTTGTCTCCCTTTATATTGTAAAGCGCTGAGCAAACTGTTGGCACTATATAAATCCTGTATAATAATGATAATAAGAGGGACTAAAGGGCAGGTAAGCAGGAGCACTGCAGATAAATATTTTTTCTCTCTTGAATTTAATATAATTTTCACTCTTGAAAATGGCTGACAATCTCCTTCACCAGCAAAGACCTGGATTGTAAATGTACAATTTTTTTGGTATTTTTCTATTCACTTACTTTTCTACATAGACTTACCTCGGTTTACGAACGCCTCGGTTAACGTAATTTTAGGTTTACGAATGAAAATACATTGAAAATAATGGCTTGGTTTACAAATATTTTTCGCAATACGAATGGATTACTTGGTTTTCAATGCATTTACACATTTTTTTAAATCATGTCCCTGTATAGTACTATGCCTTTAAAGTGCACTTTATAAAAAGTTTTGAACAGATAAAACTTTTTTTCACTTTTTTCTGACCTCCGGAACGGATTAATTGGTTTTCAATGCATTTACGAAGTTATTTTTAATCATGTCCCTGTATAGTATTTATGCCTTTAAAGTGCACTTTATAAAGAGTGTTGAACAGATA